GGCACACGGTACCGGCCGGTGCGGCCGCCGTGGAAAGCCGTTCCGTGATACAGGAACTCAGCGGGAACAGCGTCCGAGAACGGATTGCTGGGGAGCATCACAGATCCCTGCATGGGCCAGGACCACAGTGGGGCACCCGGTCCCGTCGGCCTGCTCAGGCAGGGTCATCCCAGAGCACATGGCACACGATTGTACCCAAGCGGTTCGGGAATATCTGCAGTGAGGAGACTCCACAACCTCTGTGGGTAATCTGTTCAGTGCTCAGCGACTGCGCAGGAAAGAAGTTCTTCCTCGTATTCACGCGGAACTTCTGGGCATCAGTTTTTGCCCACTGCCTCTTGATTTACTGGTTTCAACACTGAGCAGAGCCTGATCCATCCACTTAGCACCCCCTTCAGATACCTGTATACACTAACGAGGTCCCTCTCAGTTGTCTCTTCTCGAGGCTGAACGAGCCCAATTCCTTCAGCCTTTCCTCATAAGAGAGGTCACAGAAGGGAACTATCCAACACTCTACAAGAATACTACAAGTTCTTATTTTGCTTTCTCTTAGAGGTGCTCAAATACAAATGATGAGTAAACAAATTACTCAGCTAACCCAGACACCTGCCAAGAAGGGTTTTGCAGGTACAACCCCAACGTCACCTGCATGATCTGCTCTTACAAATTTGGGTTTGAACATTTAATTGAACCTGGTCGATGCTGAAATTCATAAAAGTACTCTGGATTGTTTAACAGCCAAACAAGGAATCAAAACTCAGAGCTGGTGCTCCCATGTGAGCTTCCAAACCAAAACACAGTTTCCAAACCCACTCGGAAGCAAAAGGTTTGCAGGAGCTCCAAGGGGAATCGCACTATACCTGCTTGGGTACCGCAGTCAGCAATGCCTGCTGGTTTCCTGATATAGAAATCACTTGCATAAGGAAAACAGAATTTGAATAATATTACCATAAGTTTACACAGAATTATCTCAAGATCAGTGCATTCCATTCTGGGGTAGGTTGTTCTCAAGATACAGGGAGTACATCCAGATCTCCTGGAGCTTGGGAGCCAACCTCGGGGACACTGAACTTCTGTAGAGCCTGTACTACAACCTAATGCTCCCCTGCACCTGGTATTTGGCTCAAGGACATCACAGCACATGGGGGAATCTTGCTGCAGTGTCTGTAGACAAGAAAGTGAGAGAGGGAAAAGCTGTTAATGATAGCTTTTTGCAAGTAATGGTACTGGTGTTTTTCACTAGTTATGGAAAAAATGCAGGAAAGGGGATAGCCAGGCAGTAGAGATCACACCGCTCTAGGTCCAGCAGTGTGTAAAAGCAACCCGAAGTGAACCCAGAGGTGAAGAGGAAGAAGAAGACATCTACAAGAGCTCAACATCTGTAGGCAGGAGCTTGGGCTGCTGTGGTGTCACTGTGACAGCCCCTCCTGGGAAGAGCAGCCACAGACTGTGGGATAGTGCACGAGATGGGAGCGCGAGGCTCACACCAGTTAAAGGGGTAGTGAGAGCTGTTTTATTGCTGTTTGCTTACTGTTAGGAGTAGAGTTCTCATGGATTCCTGGATGCTTACAGTGTGTGTTCCTTTGTGCCTGGCACGTGTAACTTGTTTGTCATGTAACTTTGCAAAAAAGCCATTCCACTATTTGTGTGGCCTGACACATTCCAGATATGCCACAAATGTGGTCACAGCTGCTAGTGCCCTTGAAAGGTTGAAGACTGGGGCTGAATGCTTTGCACATCAGCAGGTCTTCTCTTTGTGGGCCCATGGAAAACACTGAGATGACAACATGCAGTGAACATCAGCCTTTGTTCTCCCTTCTGCCTCACTGGGTGTCTGTCCTGCCAGCCAAACTTCCTCCCTCCAGCCAGTGAATTGGGGATTTGCCAGGAAGGGCTGAAGAACAATCACATAGTTTGTGAAAACCCTAGAGCCTCAGGTTCTGCAAAGAAAACTGGAAAAACCCATACCCAAAACCCTTCAGAGTGAAGAAGGAAACCGGGCACATTTCTGGATTCTTGGGTGTGATTTAACCTCTTGGATAATTCCAATTATCAGGCTAATGCCTGTATCAGTTAAGTGAAAGAAAAGGAAGTTCCAAAAAAAGAAGTCAAAAGCAACAATTATTTATTACAATTCACAAACCAAGAAAAGATAAAGAGATTTTCTGTCCTCATTTGAGAGATGTCGAGCACATCTCACAGATGTAGTTTGATGGAGCTCTACTCCCACAAGCTGTTTCCAATCAAAGAAAGTGGAAAGAGGCTGTAGGAAGGACACCTAGCCATTCTCTTCTCAAAGAAGAAGGGAATAAGCATGTAATATAGTCTGATGCTTATTATCTATTCTGTAGATATTTTCTTACAGATTTCAATTTATTTGCCAATTTCCCCCTCACTATTCAGTTTTGACATCCACTGAGTAGATATCATGGTCTATGTGAGCCTGAAAGATTGTGGGATTTTTTTCTGCTTGCTTTGTTAAATAGTGATTTTTAGCCCAACAAACATTCCAAGTCTCCCTTGTTTCTCTCCTTTCACTGTGATCATGGCAACAGATTACCTAATAGTGAGTTAGAAGGTGATTATTACTCTGCACCCCAACAAACTAAATTTGTTTGACTTTACTTTGGGTTTCAAAAGCAAACTGTACCCTCCACAGCTCTTATAAATCTGTGTGTTCTCTCCTTTCATTCACCATTTGTTGCATGAGCTGTGTCCAAAACTTCATTTTGCGTTCTTTATATTTCTTGGCTTCCTTTTGCTGTATGTCTATTTCCAAGTATCTTTCATCCTGATCATACTGAGGCCAATGCACCAAGCCTTCTCCATTGGGATTTCTGGAAATAATAGAATGAAAAGTTAGCTTTCCATTAGCTTATCGTTTGTGCTCTGCCTGCTCACGTCAAGAGCCTTTCAGAAAACTAACATGAGTTCCGATGATGTGATTCTAGTACCTGAACAGTTGGATGTTGTGTATGAAAATGCCAATCAGTGGAACAGTAAAAGCTGAATAGTTGCCTTTACTTTTGGACCTAAAACTCCATTGCAGATGGAGCAATAGCTCTTGGATTGTTTTTTCTCTTTTTGTGTGTGCAGGTTCATTTAAAAGATTTCTCTTACAATCATAAAGAAGAGAAATAAATTCTGCCAAATTTGCAGGAACTACCACGCAAGCATTGCTTCAGGCATGTAAGTCTGTTTCAGGCAGAAACGACAGAACTTGAGATGTAATTAGCATTATGATTCTCACCCATTTCTAGCAAAGTTAGTCCAGTATTTCATAACAGTTCTGCTAAGTTTGTTTTCTTCTTCTGTAGCATACCCTGCAAAGTGAGAGGTGAAATGGCAGCATTAGAAACTAAATAATTAGAAACTAAATACTTAGTAGAAACAAAATAATCCAATAATAAATAAACTCTGTCAGTTCCAGCAGACTGCAGTCAGTTCTACTTGATGCTCTGAGCTGTGCGAGTTTTACCCGAGCAAGGCTCAGGAGAGAACTGTAGCTAGTGATTTCATGACAAGTATCTACTACTGAAGACAGAAAATGTTGCTGTTCATTACAATGTAGTCTATTCTAAAGCCCTCCAGTGAGTAAAATGAGTTTTAAAAAGATGTATTAAAAAGGATACTTTGGTAAGCATGGATACATCACCAGCTAAGAATGGCTTTCCAAAGACAAAGGGAATCTCAGCTCCGTGATCTGCTTTGACAAACTCTGGTAAGAAGCCATCAGCTGCACTTGGTCGGTGCTGAAATTCATAGAAGTAGACTGGGTTGCCAGCATCTAGTAAATACAGAAGAGAGTTAGTTTGAGGGCTAAAAATATCTGCCCCTGAGGATAATAAACTCTCATTACAGGCTGTTTTGGTTAAATGAAAACACTGTCAGTCCTTTGGATAATGAAACGTGATGCATACTGCCCACACCACACCCCAGGATAGAACTCTACATTTCTGTGAGTGAAGCTGAATTACCTCGGTGGTATCGAGCCACTTCAACAGCTGCAATAACAAAAATGAAGTCTCCCATGGTATCAAGGAGGCCATCTCGCACCTGAGCAGGGTTCTCTGCATGCCCCATGTACTCGTTGTATATTTGATCAACAACTTCAGACTTAACATCCTGAAATGGACAACAAAAGTACTTCTTGTAGTGATGATGAATATTATAAAGATTAACAGCACTAGCTGAGCATGCCACCTGCATGTCCCTGGCTAACTGAAATATTACCTTTCAGAGAAAACCCTCAGCTGTGCCAGAGTGTGGCTCAGAGCTCAGGAGTGCAGTTACACCTAACTGGATATAGGTTTTCTCGGGGAAGAGGGATATGCGAGATCTAAAGACCGAATGGCTTTAGCTAAACAGCTGGTAATGATGCTGATAACTAGATATGGCAGTCTGTTCTCCCTTCTGTGGAAATAACCCTCATAAGAGCAAAGAATCCTGTTGGATTTCAACAATTCCATGTAGATGATCATAATTTACTCCCTTTCACAGCAAGCCTGGGCTCTGCCTTTCTAACCTCATGGTGGATGTCTGTGATGCTGAATGATCCATTTCAAGTACTGACCACCTTTATAGAGTCCTTAATTTGTACCTTTTAGTCTGTAGTTTTCTATATTTAGTAGTTTCAGGAGAACACAAAGGAAACAGAAAGCTAAGAGGTTTGTAAATTCCAGGGAAGCAAAACCGCAAGAAACCTGAACATAGGTCTCAGTGCATCTGAAACATCTTGGGTTATCCTCTCTAGTCTCCAGTTACTGCTTTAGAAGGTTGTGTTCTATAGGTCTTGTGTCATGCCTGTTGGCACTATGTATGTCTTGGATAACCTAGGGTATCTAAAATGTCATGAGAGACCTCTGTTTAGGTACCTGAATCACTCCTGGATTTCCATAGAACTCCTTTTCAAGAGGAGAAGCATTTAGGCTACACATGTAGAGTGCATTTTCAATCACTAGAGGTAACAGGAATACACCACATCTGCTTCCCATTGCTGCCCCATGGTAGGAAGCTGTCCAACACAACAAAGTTTGCCTGTGAAATACATCCCTCCAGAAGTACAAATATAGAGCCAAACCAGTGAAACAGCAGCACTGGGTTATTCCGAACATAGTCTCTTACCTTAAATCCTAATGCTAAAGAGCTCTGTAAAATTTGATGTGCAACATCTTTATCCAGACCATCCACAAAAGCAGGGTATTTCATCATCTGCATGATACAGAGAATCACATTTGTTAGAAAAGCTTATATGAGCAAAATGATACGTAAATAACAATATTGTAAGTCTCTTACCGTAGGAAGTATCCACCCAAATTCACAGTTATTTACGCCTATGATATATGGGACTGCATGGATGGATTTTTCAGATAGTAATTGCTTGGGACTCTTTGGAAAAAACACACCATCTGCACATGCACTGATGAAAAAGGAAGGCTGAACAAAAAGAAAACAAACCAGAAAGCTTCATTAATACATTAATTTTGCACCTAAAAATGTTTGGATTTTTGTGGCAGTTCCAAAGCAAAGTCAAATGAGAATACAAGAAGTAATGGAGTTCAAGCCATCTTTAAATTTTCTCTGACAGATTTTCTGCACTAGGCAGAAGATTCTGTGAAGATTAATATTATATTTGCAATGTTTGTGAAATATAAGTGATTATGTCCAAATTACATCTTCTCTTAGTTCAATAATGTTAGTGATGTATGGAGCAGTGAAAGAAAAACAACATGTATTGAAATTTGAAAGGCACATAGAGTCCAACATTGTCACAAGGACTTTATGTAGGACATTAATATATTATACTAATTAATTTTCATGTTCTCTAGGAGCAACTGTGACATTTCCTTCACTCTTTTCCTTCCCCTGGTAGAGCACAACAGCAAACAAGTAGCCCCAAGTGCATGCAGAATGGAAGGGAAGTAACCTGTTCACACTTCTCACGTGAAGTGTAGCATAGTGGCAGTGCTGTCATATCCTGAAAGGGTCAAGAAAGTCAGACGTTACATTCACTTTAAGCTCTCCTAACATGACAACACAGAAGTCTGCCATGTTAAAATTTGATAATGCCATTTAAATGCAAGAATTATATCTTGACCTACCATTTGGAGTGTTATCTGTACTATCTCTTCTTCTGTTTTTCCTCTCAAGCATTCAACTGTTGCAGCTGAACTGGATTTTTTGCAGCCAGAGGCAGCAGTAATTCTCTGCAACCAGTGAAAACAAACACTAGTCTTCTGCAACCAGTACAAGCACTCACTCGTTTTTAGACACAATGGCTGTGTCGGCTCTGTGAGCCACCAGAGTCCAGCGGGGGGAGCCGAAGCTCCTGCACAAGGATCGCTGGAGCCTGGCGTGTCCCAGCTCCGGCGTGGGGAGTGGGACGAGCTCACAGCCCTCCACACCGCGAGCTCAGCAAAACGACAAAATCTATGCCTCCAAAATCTTTTGCTACAGAAATGTGCCAGGATAATCATGATGGTAAATATACTGAGGAGGCAGAAAGGCATAAAGGAGTGAGAGAGTAACAAAGAGCACATTATGCCATTCTTGATTATGTCTTTTTGGCTGGAGTAACAGAGGGAGCTCATTATAATGTCGTCTCTCTTATATCTCAGACTCTAGGTTCCTGGAAGTTGTTTCTTGTCGTTGAATTAAAAAAAAGGGTTGAAGTCAGTACTTCTTTCAGTACTTCTCAAAATAAACAACTTGAATAAAGTCTTATGTGTACACAACAGGCATTAACAGGAGAGGAAGAGTTTTCAGAATCTGATACCCTTTTCCAGCCAAAATTTATAGCTCGACTTTTGTTGAAGACACTACATGTTATAACATTCCTTTACATTTCACAGTTCTTCCCTGCCTTCCCTCTTTATTACCTTGGTCTTTTGCTTTCACTCAGACATATGTGGATATTTGGGTATTCAAAAACCAAAGCATCGTTAAACATGTACTATGTGCACATAGAAATACTGTCTTTAATGACTGTGGCTGTAGTTTCACAAGAAAAATAACCCTGTTGCTATATTTTGGAATAAGCAGTTTAAGATATGCAAAACTATTTGGAAAAATTAGTTAAAATTATCACAAAATACCCACTTTTTCTTCCTCCTTAGGCTGATCAGTGAACAAACTGTAGATTGCAGTACCACTCTCTGAAATGGCCTTGTGGAACAAGCCCTTTGCCAGGGGAGATAAGACCTGTGAGGAAGCAAGAACAAGCAGCATGTTCTAACCACTGACTTCGAATTTCAAGATCAGGAATTGCCATTGAAAACATTTTGAAAACAAATTTCGCAAGACTGTTATTCTGTAGCCTCTGACCATAGTTCAGCTGTGCAAAGGGCTTTGGCAGCACTAGCAGGGATAAGGAGTTCATGCTTGCCTTTTCCCCTCCCACAGCACCTTGCTTCCAAGATTTCATGGAACTGCACCACAAGCCAGATATGGACTGAATTCCCAAGGCAGTCTGGCTGTGCTGCAGAAGGGGAATCAAGAACTATTGTCCAGAGGGCTGGAGCTTAGGAAACAGGAATGTTTTTCCCATGTATCAATGAACCCTGGTTTCACTGCGTGACCTGTACCAGAGAGACTGGAGAGACCATTGTAGCCAATGTACTCAGTGTTGATGCAAAAATTTTACATAACCACTGTGTCACAAACTGCACGTCTAGTTCAGCTATCATGACTATTCACCTCGATTACTTTGCATAAGTGACCATCAAAGCAAACAGGAAATGGGCAACACAACCTCCCAAAGGATTATTCTCACAAGGATAGTTTTTGGGCATATTTTTTCCAGGGAAAATCCATCAGAATTGAATTTATTTTAGTAGATGTGAAATAACATTTTGTGGCTTAACTACAACATCTGGGTATGAAAAATCCATTTTCATCAATCAAACCCTGCATTGTTGTGTTGTATTGTTGCCTTGTGCTGTTCTTGTATCACAGACCAAGGTGATGTGTCACTTAACACCATCCCTTTTCCCTCACTGACTTCTCATGCAGATAATAAAAATGAACTTAGATGCTGAGGGGTTTTTTCCCCCTAAGTAACTAAAATTCAATATTCCTGTGAACTTACAAGAGCAGAAACACTGATTCCTCCTGCAGATTCTCCAGCAATAGTGACAGATCCTGGATCTCCTCCAAAGTGCATGATATTTTCCTGAATCCACTGAAGAGCTGCTACTTGATCTAAATATCCCCAGTTACCTCGGGCATGCTCATCACCAGTGCTGCAGGGAACAAACAGGTTTGTTTAAATGCTCAATGCAAGAAAAAAAGGCAGATAAAAATACAATCTGGGATGTGAGAAATCATCTGCTGTTCTCTATACAGAACTTCTCTACATAACTGAACAAGCAATGGCTCAGAAAGCCTTGAGATTAGAGCAGCAATCCAGCAAGAACAGATCTGAAAGCTTACTTGGGATTTGTAAATTGTTCATTACTGTGGCAGATGCAATTAAGAAATGTTGGTTTACTTATCAGCAAGTCTTCTGCACTTTGCTTCACAAAGGCTTTGCACACATCATTTTGGAAATCACTTAGCAAAAGCTGAGATAAAACACCTTACCTAAAATATCCAACAATGCCTAATCTGTACTGAATTGTTACAACTACCACATTGTCAAAGGCTGCTAGTGCTGAACCATCATATGATGAAGCTGCTCCAAAAATTAATCCACCACCATGTATCCATACAAACACCTGGAAAGACAAAACCAGAATCAACCCAGCACAGATATGAGCTCCCTGTGATAGAAACTAAATATAAACAAAAATATAATATTTTGTGCCATTTCACTCCTGATTCTTTCAGTTTACATTTCACAAAGGGTAGACATTTTTTGTCTCCAAGGCCTGCAGGTCTACAAAATGGCATTGATTTTATTACTTACATTCTATCAGTGCCTCATGACCTTGGACAGATTATTTGGAGGAAATCAAGCATTACCTAGCTAAAATGTCAGTACAATTTTACTTGCAAAATAGGATTATGTGTCTCTTTTAAACTTCAGCTAATATCTCCTGGGGCAAAGCATGTAAGCGGATCATTACAGAACTGCACCTGTATGTCTGCATGCAGCACAGGTTGTGGGTTTGCTGTAAAATGATTTTGCAGGAGGCTTTATAAAGACTTTGCTTACAGGCAGCTTCTGCTGTGTTTCTGTAGAGATGGGTGTATACACATTTAGGTATAAGCAATCTTCAGACGTTTCGAGAGAGACTTTCTCTTTTCTATTAGTAATCAGGTCCGAAAAATATTGTCCTTGTACTTTATCCTGTAGGCACCTGAATAAATGAAAAAGTAACAGCAACAGAAATAACTAAAACCAAAGTGCAGCTACAAAGTGCAGCTTTTTTGTACTTCCACAACAAAGTGCAAACCAGAAACCAATCTCTAGTACATTTCTAGACTGAAACAGAAAACATTTTTTTTCACTTTTAATATATTTTCTTGCTTTAACCTGTCATTATTTAGATCTGCAGAGGAGCCACTGTCTACTGCAGTACACAGTGACATGCAGATATAATTCTGCATGTTTCAAATTATTACACATATATCTGCAAGTACATAGGGCTATAAATTACTTCAATGAAAAAGAATTATTTTGTATCTTCAATAGCTTTTTATACTGTAATGATAGGTATTAGGCTTGAGGCACCAAACAAGGGCAGCAGGACAAATGGAGTAAGACATTTACAATACAGACTAGAATTGCTCTACATTTCTTATGTGCCCTATGAAGCATGTGACTTAGCATTTTTTCCCTAATGTTGTATTCCAGCATTTCCTCAGCTCCTTTCTGCTTCTGCTCCAAAGTTTTATAAACATTGGTAAGTGATGGCCAAATGCTCCCAAACTGGAGCATTATCAGTAAAGTGCTGGTCCATATCAGTTCATCACTGATGTCCATTACATAGCAGCTTTTAGTCAAGAGAGCAGCCAGTTAAGGGGTCTTTAGAAATGCATTAATTATAACAGTTGCAGGTGTAAGGAGGTGGGACCAAGGAACCCATCTGTGTGAGTTTTGGTTGCCCTGCGTGTACATCAGTGTCATGGAATTGCATATAGTACGAAATTATGAAACAGTTCATAGTTTCATCACTTACATTGGTGGGTAGGAAGTGGCATCTCTGACACCTTTCCACGGTTTGGGTGGCTGTGGTGCAGAAAACCTTAGTGATCCAACTGGAGGCTTGGCAAAAGGAAGTCCCAAAAAGACATTTACAGTCTTCTGTGCTGCGTCTACTTCGAACTGGTATCCTCGGACTCTCCCATATTTGGTCTCCACTTCTGGTTGCTCTGCTCCTTGTCCTGGGGGATGTGAGCACAAAATCACATAATGGGTCTAATCACAAGTAATTGCCAGATTTCTAAATGACAGATTTGCTACTTAAATATACACCTTCTGGTTACTTACACAATTCATTTTCATACATCAGGCTTCAATGAACTCTAATTAGTTTTAACAGTACACTACTCCAATTTACTGTTTGGTTGTACTAATTTAATTACTGGTATTTACTAATTTAAATTTTAGATTTGCTAATTTGCTCGAATACACTTTTATTACATCCTGATTAAATTAGTATAGCTGACATTATTTCAGCCTTCATTTTGATTGGTCTGTATGTATAATGTCCCACAGGGATATCATGTGTTGTCTTACTAATATACACACACACATTAGTAATGGCATATAGATCTTAATCCTTTCTGATCTGGGTTGTTAGATAAAAGCCCAACAGAAAAGGCAAGTAGCAGACAAAATATGCATGTTGATAGTAGGTACAGAAAAAGCAAAGAGCTTCAAACATTCCTAAAAATAGCCTGGCACGTACAAATGCTGTTAACATTCACCGAAGGTCCATTTTAAGATCAGAGTGAAGCTCTCAGTGCCAAACTACAGCCGTGGTACAGTGACTGCTCTGCTGCCGCACACAGCCCTTCGCCACGGGAATCTGAGTTTGCTCTTCGCGGAAAGAGTAAATAAGAGGAAGGACCGACCGCGAAGAGAAAGAGAAATCTTTGGTGCTGAGAGCCAGTCTCGGCGCAGCAGAGCTCACCTGTGGCCAGCAGCGCTGTGACCGCGACAGCGACAGCGACAGCCCAGCCCCGCAGCGCTCGCACCTTCCCTGCCGCCATGGCTCGCTGCTCG